TAGCTTTGCCCCATGTATGTTCCACCGTATTCATAGATATATTTTCCAAAAAGGTAAATACACATATGCATGTATGCTCTATCAAATCTACATATCTATAGATATATAGGTATTCATATATATCCCACTAACTGTTTAGTCTGAATGTTTATCTAAGCACCTACTCATATAGCACCACTATTATAGGACTGTGTATAGAACAGTATTTGCCTCTGTTGTTTTTAACTCTTGTAAATCTCCCAATACCTAGCCTACCTCCATCACTTTTTACCAGCTCTTAAGGTCCCACTCACTACTCATTAAATTAGGATGTAGAATGTTGTCTTGGGGGGCTGTGTTATGCCAGTTGACCTTGATGTCCCTCTGAAACAATGGTCCTGGCACCCCAGGTCCAGCAACACATTTCCTCAAAGTGTTTGGTTAAGTCTAAGTTTTCAGAACCTCATATGCATATGCAGTTTGGACAATTAATCAGGAAGACCATAGAAGAATTCATGCACTTGAATTATAGTCTGGGTGAAGAATATTAGAAATACTGTTTAATGCCAGAGGAATGAAAATCTGTCTTGGAATAAGTACAAGCAGAATGCTCCTGAGACACAAGTGTCTCCAGAGAAGGACATGTGCTTAATAGATGGTCAGCAAAGGAGAGGAAGACCCTGAGCAAGATAGATTAATACAGTGGCTGCAAGAGCGGGCCCAAACATAACGATAATCCTGAGTATAATGCAGGGCCAGACAGTGTTGCGTTCTGTTGTACACAGGGTACAGGCTCTGAGTGGGAGCCAACTGTACGGTACCCAACAGCAACATCAAGAAGTGTTCATAAATTTGCTCCCTGTATGCTGTCGGATACAGCTGTATGCTGTATGCTCGTGGATATATTTGTAGTAAAGGGAAATACACATTTACAAATGGTCTCTTTAAAATTTACATAGGTTCAGGTCTATGCTCCCATCCTCCCTCCTATACCTGTTCAGCCTTCATGTCTCTCCAAGCAGCCACTCATAGATCACCATGCTTGTGTATACTATTGTATTTGCCACTATTGCCTTTAAATCTTGCAAACCTCTCAATGCCTTCCCGACTTCTGCCACTTTTTATTAACCTCCCCCTGATTGTACATTGCCTTCTCTTTCACCCAAGTAAACACCTGCCTACTCTCTAGCCTATGACTCTCCCCTCCCTCTCTGTTCCCTTTCTACCCCTGCTAAATATCAACAAATATTTTTTTTTAATATTTGTCCATTTTTTATTGATTCCTTTCACTCAGCATCATAATGTCTTCCAGGTTCATCTATGTTATAAGGTGTTTTACAGTTTCATGGATTTTTTTAACATGTCATAGTATTCCACTGTGTGCATGTATCCAAGATTATTTATCCAGTATCCCACTGATGGTCATTTAGGCTGTTTCCATCTTTTTTGCTATTGTGAATAGTGCTGTGATGAACATGGGTGTTGACATATTTATTCAAGTCATGGCTCTTTTCTCTCTAGGACATAAACCAAGTAGAAGGATTGCTGGGTCCTATAGTATATGTAGTCTCAACTTTTGGAAGAAACCCTATACTGCTTTCTCCATGAGTTGAGCCATTATATAGTGTATAGGGTTCCAGTCTCTCCAGACCTTCATTAAATTCATTGTTTTCAGGGTTGTTGTTGTTGTTGTTTTTAACCATTCTGGGGTAATTTTGTTTAATACATTTCTAGAAATGTATCCATTTCTTCTAGATTGTTGTATATGTATTTAATTGAAGATGCATTGGGTTATCTACAAGGTCAAACCCACCAGCTGCTCCCAGGGAGAAAGACAAGACTTTGTACTACTGTAAGAAGTTACAGTCTCAGAAACCCACAGAGGAAGGTCTATCCTAACCTATAGGGTCACTATGAGTCAGCTTTTACTCAGTGTCAGTCAGTTTGTCTTTTGTCCTTTGTATGTGGTGAGAACATAACTACTCTTTCTTGCCTCGTGATATGTGTGGTGGTAGAGAATGTAAGTGTGTTCACAATTCTCTGATGTTTGTATATCAGAGGTGAGGGTAATTTCTGCTTGTATTTTTAATTCTAGCTGATCAAGTGATACAGGAGTGGATAGTGAGCTTTATCCAGCAGGTGTGGCTGTAGGATGTACAGATGCGACTGAATCATGTGGGCGTAGTTGCTGTCTGCCATTGGATGGGACAAGAGAGAGCAATAGAGAAGGAAGGAGAGCGAGCCAAAACAACAGTGAAAAGAAGAGATGCTTATTTTTTATTTCATTTTTTGAGCAGGCAGAAATGAGAAAACAATACCAAGAAAAAAATTGTCATTGCGAAAGTGAAAATAGGAAAGGAAGTACGAACAAGGACAGAGAAAACGAAAAGTGATAAAAAGAAAACTACAATAAGAAAAACTAGGGAGAGGGAAAGAAAAGAGAAATACTAAAGAAAATCGAAAATAAAAGCAACAAGGAAAGAGATAAAGATGAGAAGGCACAAAAGAAAGAGAAATCGGAAAATTAAATTGGGCGGGGGGCGGGGATAGTTTAAAAAGGGAACAGAGAGGAAAACCAAATGAAAGAAATCAAACAGGTTTCTTAATGTGAAAACAAAATTAATGTTAGACCTTTTTCTTTTTCTAACGTAAGTATTTATAAATTCCCCCTACATGCTGCTTTAGCTTCATATTTCGAATTTTGAAATGTTTTGCATTTTTATTAAGTTCAAAATATTTATTAATTTTCTGTAGGGCTGTTTTCTTAGAAATGTACTCCCACGTATTTGAACTTTTTTTAGAAACATTTTAATAAACTCATAATCCTATTGCCCTATGAAGATTTTGAAAGCACATATTCTATATGATATAGATCTTTCTGCATGTATGGAGAATTGATTTGTGACCCAGTATATGACATAATCTTTGTGATTGTGAAATGCACTCCTGAAATGAATCAGCATTCTCCTTCCCATTGCAGACTGGCATCCTCTTTAAATGACAGTTGACCTACTGATTTTTCTTTTTCTCTTAGTTAGTAAGAGGAAAAGGATAAAATAACCTCTTCTGTCTCTTTCCACCTTTACTATTTTTTCTCTATATGAATTTTGAAGCTATCTTATTTAGTACATACTTATATAATAACATTTTCCTGTGAATTGCTCCTTTCATCTTAGTAAAATAACTCTTTTGCCTCCAACAATCTTCTTTTCCTTAAAGTCAGCTTACCCTGATATTAATATGTTCATGTTATCTTTCTTATATTTATTATGAACATGTTACATATTGCCTTAAAGTCAGCTAACCCTGATAGTAATATGTGCATATTATTGTTCTTATACTTATTATGAACATGTTACATATTCCCAGTCTTTTATTTTTAACCTCTTAGCGTTTGTAATCAAATTAGATATGGCATAATTGATTATGGATATATTTTTAATTTAGTCTGACAATATGAAGGGGATTCAAAAAGTTCATGAAATTCCGTTTTTCAGAAATTCAAAAAGTTCATCTTTAAATTCCATTTTCCCACAAAGTTTTAAACACTTTTATATGTGCCTTTATTTGGATTACCTAGTCAATTATATTGAACATAATTTGGGGCTGTCTGTTGCTGTAAAGATTCACACTCTTAGAAACCCTACAGAGGGCTGCTACGAGTCAGAATTGATCAAGGACAGTCTACTTGGTATGGTTTATTTATTCCTATTGTTATTGTTAGGTGTTGTTGAGTCAGTTCCAACTCATAGCAACCCTATGTACAAGTAAGGAAGCACTGCCTGACCCTGCACCACCTTCACAATTGGTCTTCTGTTTGAGCCAATCGTTTCAGCCACTGTCTTAATCCATCTTGTCAAGTCTTTTTCACTATCTTTCTACAGTACCAAATATGATGTACTTCTCCAGGGACTGGTATCTCCTTACAACATGACTGACATATATGAGATGAAGTCTAGCTGTCCTTGTCTCTAAGGAGCATTCTGGTTGTACATCTTCCAAAACAGATTGGTATGCTCTTTTGGAAGTCCATGGTACCTGCTATTGAAAGTTTCTTCACCAGCATGAGAATTCAAGTGCATCTACTCTTCTTTGGTCTTCCTTATTCTATGTCCAACTTTCTCATGAATATGAGGTGATTAAAATTACCATTGCTTGGGTCAGGTGCACCACAGTCCTCAGAGTAACATACTTGCTTTTCCATATTTTAAAGAGGTCTCGTGCAGCAGATTTATCCCATGAAATGTGTCCTTTAATCTCTGACTGCTGCTTCCATGAGTATTGATTTGGTAACCAAGCAAGACAAAAATCTTTGACAACTTCAATCTTTTCCCATTTATCCTGATACTGGTCCAGTTGTGAGAACTTTGGTTTTCTTTATATTGAACTGTAATCCAACTCTAATCTTTATCTTCATCAGCTAATGCTCCAATTCCCTGTCCCTTTCAGCAAGTTAAGTTGTGTCATCTGTATACTGTAGGTTTTCAATAATCCTCCCTCCAATAATTCAATAATCCCAATAACACATTCTTCATATACCCATGTAGTCCAGCTTCTCTGTCAGCATCAGGTAGCCCTTCCACCTGCAGACAGAAAGCCACCTGCTCTGCTATAAGCATCAAGAACATCTTACGGTTATAGATGAGATGAATTGGGGCCAACCATCCTGAAATTGCAGTGAGGAAAGGAGAAGAAGAGGATCACTGGAATGGGGAAGGGGCTACCTCTTGGCACTGGAGGTTGAACTCTCCTGAGACAACTCTCCTGAGGTAGAGGGGGAGGTAGTAGTGACAGGGGAACTCATCAAGGGGCCCAGTGGGAGGTTCACACTATAGGTGAGGGGCGAGATGACCTGGTCATCTTCCATTTTCACATAATACTTATTTTTGCATAATGATCTAGTCTTTGGAATACAACCATATTGAAAAGTGAAGAGTAGAGGTAGACTTTAAAAGTTATTTCTAATTCAGAACTTTTCAGATTGCTTTAAACTGACTTTACAATTTTCTTCATATTTGCAGTAAATGTGGCTACTTCTGTTGGAAGCTTCCTATATTTTGCCTCTTTGTTTCCATTTAACTTTATCGTTCAATACTATGGAGAGATAACCCTTGTGAAGAAGGTGATTTCCTGTCTCAGTTCAAATGTTGCACTAGCCCTGGGGATTAATCTTCTGCTCAAGTTGGAAATGAAACGTGAGTGTTTGTCTTCGGTGATTCAATTCTAGGAGTAAATTATTGTGGGTGAGAGTGTGTGAGACTGTTATGAGTTATTTATTCCTGGGTTTATTTATTATAAAGGCAATATATTTTAACCATTATAAAATTCAAGTGTGTAAAGTGAAAAGTTCTCCATTTCTCCACAGAATCATCCCAGTTACATTCCCAAGGGAAATACTTTTATAGCTACTATTTTATAATATGTTTTATCGAATTAATAAATACAAAAATTCACATTATCATTTATAAAATTATTTAATTTTATACTCTAAAATGATGTCATGATCAATGAATTTTCAACCTATGTACACATAGGTGGTTTCTATTTTTTGCTCTTACCCAGAATTTACACACATATTTTCTCACAAATGCATATTTATCTTAAAAATAAATCCCTAGAAATAAAAATCGTATTTCATAAGATAAAAATAGTGTAAATTTTATTTTGTATTATGATATTCTTCTAAAAGATATATTAATTTATTATCTCAAAACAGTAGATTAGTATTTTCACATCCTTTTCAAATAATGTATTATGCTACTCTTATGTAAAAAGAAAATGTGTTGTTAAATGTCGTTGGGTTATCTCTGACCCATAATGACTCTATGCACAACCAAACAAAACACTTCCCTGTCCTGGTCCATCCTCACACTTGTTCCTATGCTTCAGCCTCTTGTTGCAGTCACCGTGTCAGTCCATCTCCTTGGGGGTCTTCCTCTCTTTCACTGCCGCTTTTCTTTACCAAGCATGATGGTTTTTTCCAGGGACTGGTCTTTGCCGACAACACATCCAAAGTATGTAAGATAAAGTCGTGTTATCTTACCTCTAAGAAACACTCTGGCTGTACTTATTCCAAGACAGACTTGAGTAATTTATCTTCTTTCATTTCCTGTAATTAATTTCCCTCTAAATTCTTATTTATTTTGATTGTGAGGGTAATGAAACTGGATATAAATCTGATCACATAATTTATTCAGGTTCTTCTTAAGGACTCATTCTTTCAGACTTCTCTCTTCTTGTATTCTTTAAGATGATATATGTGGGAGATGAAAATTTACCAGCTCTTTATAGTGCAGTTCTCAGATTTGAAAGTTTTCCTCCAGGAGTCCAGTTCATATATATACAGGTTTATTCCAAGGAAAACATGTTTGAACATGTCTTTCTGGTTAATGGATCATGTAGACAAGTTCTTTCAGTAATACATTTGTTCTATTCTTATTAAGGTACCTTCAAAATAAGGTCCAATAAAAACAGTAGCTTCCAAGTTAATCTACTACTGCAGTTAAATTCAAGACAGAGAAGTTAGCACAGAAGTTGATGGCAACTATTTGGGGGGACTTCAAAAGCATGATCTTGATATGTGTTCTAGAGGGACACAGGATGACAACAGGAGTTTATTATGAAGTAGTTTTCAGAACACTGGAAACTGTGTCAGTAAGAAAAGAATAGCAAAGTTTCACCAAGGAATGTGCTCTGCTCATTCTTGGATGATTGCAAGAACTGCCCTACAAGAACTTCACTGAGCAACCTTACCCACTCTGAAGATGTGATCTTACCCCTCAGATTTCTTTTCTGCCAAAATGCAAGAAACATTAAAAAGGAACATTATTTGAGTCCCTTGAGGATGTCAAAACTGTCATTTGGATGTGGTGTAAATTGAAGAGCACAGAATTCTTCTGGATAGGGTTAGAGATATGGGAACAAGGCCTTTAGAAGTGTACAGACCTAATTGAGGGGTATGTTGTAAAACGATCACGTCACATTTTTTTTCCGTGCATATTTTTTTTATTTAATCATTTTATTAGGGGCTCATACAACTCTTATCACAATCCATACACACATCAATTGTGTAAAGCGCATTTGTACATTCATTGCCCTCATCATTCTCAAAACATTTCCTCTCCACTTAAACCCCCGACATTAGGTCCTCATTTTTCCCCTCCCTCCCTGCTCCCCCCTCCCTCATGAGACCTTGGTAGTTTATAAATTGTTATTTTGTCATATCTTGCCCTGTCCGACGTCTCCCTTCACCCACTTTTCTGTTGTCTGTCCCCCAGGGAGGAGGTCACATATAGTTCCTTGTAATCTGTTCCCTCTTTCCTACCCACTCTCCCTCTACCCTGCCTGTTTCGCCACTCACACCACTGGTCCTGTAGGGCTCATCTGCCCTGTATTCCCTGTATTTTCCATTCCTATCTGTACCAGTGTACATCCTCTGGTCTAGCCAGACTTGCAAGGTCGAATTCGAGTCATGGTAGTGGGAGCAGGGAGGAAACATTTAGGAACTAAAGGAAAGTTGTATTTTTCATCGTTGTTACATCGCACCCTGACTGGCTCATCTCCTCCCCGAGACCCCTCTGCAAGGGGATCTCCAGTGACCTACTAATGGGCTTTGGGTCTCCACTCCGCACTCCCCGCATCATTCACTATGGTAAGATTTTTTGTTCTGATGATGCCTTATACCTGATCCCTTCGACACCTCGTGGTTGCATAGGCTGGTATGCTTCTTCCATGTGGGCTTTGTTGCTTCTGAGCTTGATGGCCGCTTGATTACCTTCAAGCCTTTAAGACCCCAGATGCTATACTTTTTGATAGCCGGGCACCATCAGCTTTCTTCGCCACATTTGCTTATGCACCCATTTGTCTTCAGTGATCCCTTCGACACCTCGTGATCACACAGGCTGATATGTTGTTCCATGTGGGCTTTGTTGCTTCTGAGCTAGATGGCCGCTTGTTTACCTTCAAGCTTTTAAGACCCCAGATGCTATATCTTTTCACTTCACATTTTTATCTTTTTGTAACTTTCTATTATTTATATTTTTTTGTTTTTTACTTACTCAGATATGTAATCTTTGGGATCTTTTGCCTCTTTGGCAGAGTGTCTAACCTGAACTACATATGAGCTCTTAGCAAACTGAAGTATGACCGCTTATATGTGGCCCATGGAAGAAAATGTTCTCATAGCCCCTCCATTTAAGAGGATGCTTAAGGCTATTTACTCTAACTTTGAAGTCCTGATCCAATTCTCTGCTATCCACTCACTCTCTGACCTTCTTTAGCCTTCACAGGACTTCAGAAAATTCTGAATACCATATTCAGAATAAAATGCCAGGAGCAATGTGTTGTGTCCATTTACCTACCTGCCTCATACTGGCAATGCCAATCTCCCTCTGCGTTTTCCAGGGTTTCTGTGAGACAAGAAAAAAAGTGTACCCTCTCTATCTTTCTTTTACTATTTTCTTATTTGGAGTAGAGTACTGGTCTTCCTACTTCTTTCTATAAATAACTTACTTTCCAAAATAACATCTCTACAGGTTGCTTCCAAGACGTACAAGGGGATACCAAAAACAGGGGAAATGCTCCACTGGGCAGAGCTACGTAGTACACATTTTTCCCCTCTATGCAACCATTGAACAACTCAATCTGAGTTAGTGCACCCAGTGGCATCTCCAGTGAAAGTCTTCTCTGGTCACCGTGAATTTTTTCATGAAAGCAGTTTCACTTGAACCTCATTTTTTTGTGATGGCTGGTTTAAGAAAACAATGTGTGGGTGTGAAATTTTGTTTCCTGCTAAAGAAAAATGCCACAGAAACTATTGTGATGTTGAACACAGCTTACAAGGACAAAGCTATGGGAAAAACCCAAGTGTATGAGTGGTTTTCTCATTTCAAAAAAGGTGAAATGTCAATTGATGACAAACCTCCCTCTGGATGTCCATCAGCTTCCTGAAAGGATGATAATGTCAACAAAATTCATGTACTTGTGCTCACAAACCTATGACGGACCAATGAAGAGAACTGGTTTTGCCACCGAGACAATGCACCTACATATGCAGCCATTTTTTGGCCAAAAGACAGCATGCCTTTCTTTCCCCAGCCGTGCACCTTACTCACCTGACCTTGCTCCATGTAACTTCTTTTTGTTTCTGCTAATGAAGAGGGACATGAAAGGACAGCGATTTGACAACGTAGAAGAAGTGAAGAAAAAAAAATTAGGGAGTTGCTGTCAGTCATCCAAACAGATAGGATTGAAAAATCTTTCCTAGAGTGGAATCGCAGATTTGACAAATGTATTAAGGTTAATGGAGAGTACTTTAAAGGTAATAAGTTTTTTGTATAAAAACTTTAAATACATAGCTTTGAAAAAAAATTTTTTTCCAGTTTTTTTTTGGAGGATATCCCCTTGTATATTGGAAGATATGGAAAAGTAGACAAACTGGTCAAGGCCCATAAACTGATAGATATTTAAAAATTTTATACATCTTGCAACACTATCAAATTATTCCACTTTTTCCTTTTGGCTAAGTTAAAAATGGCATCTCAATGTTTACATTTCTATGGGGGGAAAATGGGGATTCTTTTTCATTATATAGAGTGATTTGAATCCTTTCTGTGGAATACATTGTGTAATGCTCCTTAGTCTATGGTTCATCTAAATTGTGTTTATTGTGGATTTTTAACAAGTTGTTAATTCAATGAGATTAAAGTTGCTAACCTTTCCTATAGTTTTTATCCTTGTCTCTTACTCAAGAAGCCCTTTCATACTATAGTCATACAGATAATCTTTTTTCCTCTAAAAATTTAAAACATGGATTTT